TTAACGATAGAATATAGTATTGTCATCAGTATTACATATGTATACCAAGTTTGCAGTCGATACGACATTGGGAAGTGGGGTAAAATTTAGTTACAAGATTTGAGGATCCGACAACAGACAGAGTGGAGGATACAACAGACAGAATGAGTTAAATAAAAGCGTATAACAATAATGAGTTACCTAATCTGTATGATTATTGATTATATGGGGGAATGAGAACAATATTTTCAGCAACACCTCTTCATGACATAATTCGTATGTCATATATTAACACTATATTTCAATCTACAAATAAAAAAGTCCAACAGGTTTGATCAAAATGAGTACCACTTTTGCGAGATCGACTGCCATGGCAGGAATGTGGAATTTGTACGGCTGCCTCTTTGCCGCTAGTAGAGATGATCACTGCCACATGCTCGTTCGGGCGGGGAGAGACGTTTGTGCACTTGCTTGGATGCCTGCAGACCTGGACATGTGGCATTAATGTGGAAATAATCGTTTGACATCAAAGTCTAGATTTTTTTTACTGCATTCATTCGCATACGTTTAAAGCATTTGCAGCTCTTAGAATTTCAGTTGGTTCAGTTTTAAATTTTGATTTAAAGCTTTCGTGACTGCAGTAATTCATATTCTTAGTTTTTTCGGTAAAGTCACGTTGAAGGGAAACAACAAAATAATAAAATATATATAAAACAATAAAAAAATTCTCACGACGTTTCGACCATAACTCAAACGGTCGTCTTCAGGTGTGTTGGTTTGCATAAATTTATTTTCAAACGGTGCATTTATTATTTATAAAAAATAAAAAAATGCACCGTTTAAAAATAAAATTTTTATAAAAAATAAAAAAATGCACCGTTTAAAAATAAATTTATGCAAACCAACACACCTGAAGACGACCGTTTGAGTTATGGTCGAAACGTCGTGATAATTTTTTATTGTTTTATATATATTTTATTAATTTGTTGTTTCCCTTCAACGTGACTTTACCGAAAAAACTAAGATTATGGTTCAGTTTTAGTTGCAAAAAATGAAACGCACAATAAGCACAATAATAAAATACACTAGTCTGTTTTTAGGAAAAGCCTCACAGAATCTCAAGACTCTTTTTTGAGAAGGATCACACGTGGGGCAGTTTGACCAATGCATTTTTAAACAGTGTTCATGTCAAATTTTTAATTTATAGCTTTCGTGACTGCAGGGATTCATATTCTTGGTTCTTTCGGTAAAGTCACGTAGAAGGGAAACAATAAAATAATAAAAATATAAAACAATTGTTGTTTTATATTCTATCCATGAGACAAAATAATGAAAATATAAAACAATTGTTGTTTTATATTTTTATTATTTTATTGTTTCCCTTCTACGTGGCTTTACCGAAAGAACCAAGAATATAGTGTTCATGTCATCGACTAAATTTTACTTTCTTATAATGGAAGTCAGTCTATCCATGAGACAAGTACTGTCAATTTCCCACAGAGCGTTGATAATTTTATCGACCCTGTCGGGATGATTATTAACTATATCACCAAGTCAATGCCTGGATAAATAAAATAGTATACGTGCATAGAAAGTCTTGACGTTTTTTAACAATGATATTGCCATTTTCTTAAAAATGTGATGGCTTCAGACCTATCTGATAAAATATAATAAATAACTTTACCAGATTAGAATGCACAAATAAATGAGTGAATATCAGGGTTTACTTTTTGTTTTATATTCAAGAGGTGGAGTGATCGAGTGTTTAAAATCAATGCATATCTGATGCACTGCTGTCTTCCTGCTCAAATGGGCAATGGTACGCTACTCGTTTTTGTTGGAGACCCTGAGCCAGTGGTTAAAATACCACATGAGAATGGCAGGAGACAGTCTATCCAAATGACCTCAACTGCACTGCTGCCTGTTAATGTAATAATTACAGTATACTAATGTCTGTGAGTTGTGTGTAACCCTGTGGTCAGATTGCTTAACTTGCAAATTCAATTTTCCGAGTTAAAATTTCAGTTGTTGGTTCACTCGGCCTATAATTCCTTAACGGTCGACAAAATAGTTGTAATTTTGTAAAAATTCAAGATAGAAACTTTAAACTAATGCCACAGCCATTTTTTATAGGACTAAACGGACTTTTTTATTTGACTTGGAGCATATTTAAGACTTAGTTTTCGAGCATAATGTTTATAACATAAGTCTATTACATTTTCTTGGTTCTTTCGGTAAAGTCACGTAGAAGGGAAATAATTAAATAAAAAATACAACATTATAAAATAAAATGTAATAATATATATTTTTAAATCTATTACATTTCTTTTATCATTTAGCTTAAGGTCTGTTTTATATCATTACCATCTATTTACAATGCCCTTGGATATGAAATGTTCACTTTGACAGATGATTGTGGTAAAAGTGATAAGCAAAGGCAAATTACAAAACGCTATTCAGTAGTTGCTAAAAAATGTATGATGCAAAAACAAAATACTGTAGTAGGTGTCGCATTAATACACTGGTCCCTATCATGGGAATGTGGAATGTCCACTCATGGATCAGAGCAACCAAATGAGATGAGGACTGCCCTGTGCTTGTTGAAGAAATACACTTAGATTTGATTAAAATATGTATACAACAACAATCATGTAATTAGAAATATGTATTCTGGAAAACCGTAGTGAATCTTCAGAATAATTTTCAAGAGGGTCCTATACGTGATGTTCACTTGATTCCATATTAAATGAAGATCATGGGGTTTTGTTGTTACCTTGGGTTACACAGAAATCGTTTGGTGGTGTTTCTGTAAAAAAAAAATGTTGACAGACCTCAAATGGATGCATTTTAAGTTGGCGATTCTATCACTACAAATACTTGATTTGGTGTTATGCTATTGGCATTCATCAGTAGGCCATAGTTGGTGCACTGGTATGTTAGTTTTGGTGCTGAAGGTAATGGAATAAAAGTGGAATAATAGGCCTCACTGATAAATTTGGTTTGCAAAAGTGAGCTTCGCATCTGATAGCCCTGGGCCAGCATCGTGAATTCCACATTCATATGGTTGTGAACAATTCATCCATAAGACAACTGCTGATGATTTAAAATAAAGTTACGCACGTTTTCCTCCACTTCTGTCCACTCAGCAGTGTGAATGGGTACCAACGCACTCAGTCGAGCAGCAGGTCGTGCGTGGTGGAGCAAATTGTGGGTATTCCAACTCTTTTTTAGAACTTTAGCTGCCTTATAATTGTACAGCCATTTCCATTTCTGCCAGTGGTTGTATGTACTCGCTCTCGAGGAGTGCACCACCGCGACCCCCGAACCCCCTGAGCATAACAAAAGGCGGCTTAACTTAGCCCCTCCCCCTCCCCACCCACGTCACTTCCTGGCTCCTCCACCCTTTAACCTGTATATAATCTCGGGTGTCTCAGAGCTCTTCACTTGATGCAGCTATTTTGCTGTGACTGTTCCACCTGAAGACGGAATCTTGTGTTGCCTCTGAAACGTCGTGATTTAATTTAGTTGTTTTCATTTATTTTATTTTACCTACGTGACTTTACCGAAAAAAAAACAAAGAGTTTAAAGAGTATTCCAACTCTTCGGTGAACGTCTGGCCAGTGTGAAATAGTCGGCCAGATACTCTTGAGGGCTCCCTCTAGTGGAGGCTCTTCTGCCAGCAGTGACGTAACGATTTTTTTTTATGTTTTGTATTTACGTGTATGCTGTGTTTTCCAAGATAAATATTTTGGAGATGTTATTGTTGCAGATTCTAATCTGAAGGCCACACACTCTGCAAAAACCAAAGCAACTATGAACAAAATTTGCTCAGGTATGAAAATTCCGTTGTGCACTAAACACTGCAAACACTGTCTCTCCCTGACAGTTAAATGCAATTGTTTAGCAAATTTGCTGAAGAGTGCTGGTCCTTAATTTTTCTTATACTGTATTTATCCTGAGCCACTAATTCACTGATCAGTCCCAAAGACCAATACTATATCAACCGTGCGTCAACCATCCACCACATCCAGTAACATCACCCCAATCACCACACCAACACGACCAACCAACAATACAGTACATCACCACCATCACCTTCAACTAAATTGACAATACCCCACTGATTTATCATGATCCAATTTCTTCAAAGCAATTGATATAGGACAACTTTTCTTATCCGTCGTCATATGGGGGTGAAGGGGGGGGGGGCGACAATAATCGCCAATCCTATTATTTGCGGGGTCATTCGCGATTTTACTCCACTTATCCGTGAGAATAAATCACAGATAATTTGCTAATAAGAGGAAAAATGGATCTTGCATATACTATATATAAAACCGCTTTCGCACACTCTCAAAGCTCCAGAAGGTAAAGGGAGTCGTATGTAATAGGGCTGGGGATAAAAGTAGTTATTGTGAAAATGGTAGTGACATATCTTACGGAAAAAGCTGAGTGTTAAGTATCGAACAAGTTAGTTGGCAAGATGAGCTTACAGTATTGGTATTGTTTTAAAGCTTTCGTGACTGCAGGGATTTATATTTTTGGTTCTTTCGGTAAAGTCACGTAGAAGGGAAATAATAAAATAAAACAAAAAATATCACGACGTTTCCATTGCAACACAAGCAATCATTATCCCTTCACCTGATGAAGGCCACTTGTGTTGTGGCCGAAACGTCGTGATTTTTGTTATTTCATTTTTTAACCTACGTGACTTTACCGAATAGAACCAAAGAGTAAGTATTGGTATTGTTGGGATATTTGCTTTGAAATAAAATGTTGTCTTCTCTTTGATGTATCCCTATTATTTTTAGATAATAATTATTTATAAACGGATCACCCTGGAGAGGGGAGGGCTTAAAATATTTCTCATGGAATAATTTCCAGAGCCCCTCCCAACTGGCTGACATTATACCTCGCGTTATTAATATCGCTCCCCCCCCCCCCCCCCCATAGCGCATATGAACTACGCTATACAATCCGCGCGTCCCGCTTAAGCGCGCTATTAATTCCGCGCCGGCGAACGCGCCCCGCATGCGCAGTAGGCGCGTCCCCTTGAATGACGGCGGTTCCCGTCTGGTCGCGCAGCTCCGCTCCTTCTCCTCGTCCTCGTCTCCACCTGCTCCTCCGCCCCGGTCAACATGTCCTCGCCGGCGGTGGTGCCGGCGCTGCGCAAGGCAACAGCCACGGTGAGGCTTCTCGAGGGTGCGAAACGGCGTGCCCTCTGACGTGGCGCCGGCGTGCGTCGGCGGGGGCTGTGGGTGTCCTCTGCCGCAGCCGGCGCGACGTGGCCGGGGGAGGGATCCGGGAGAGGCCGAGGCTCCGCGTCGGGGTTAGGCCGCTTACGGATAAACGCGTGGTAGTTAACGCTTTTGATGCGGCCTTTCTGCCAGCACGGTTCTGACGATTCTTTAAACGAGTATAGGTCAACGTACAAACGCTCATTGGTTGTCAGAGTCAATGCGGTCAGTCATGTTTACAGTGTTCGTAAAATAAGGAAGTCTAAAGCGTTTATCTCGTGTGGCCATTCACACTCCCGCCGTGGGAATGTAGAATTTCCACGAACGACTGAGGCTGCATGCCGGAGATTGTCGTCTTGCCACGCTGGTTTGAGCAGGGAGATACTGACTTTTGTTGACGGGAATATGTTGACCCGGTGGAGCGGAAAGCTTACGAGTTAATTTCGTTTGGGAGTTACTTCGCCAATCGTATTTCGGGTTCGCTAAAATTCCTACCAATTTGTCTGGACATCAAAAGTGGTTGTCCAATGGTCAGGCTCGCTATTGTCACGGGACTTGGGCATTGCCACCAATGGCTTGGGGCTGCAAATATGAGCTGAGCATCGCCTCTGCTTATTTGAGCAATACAACACTTTGACAGGATGTTGCTTGCTGTGGCCCATCTGTGTGGACCATTAACGTTTGCCTCCGTGTGTGTGTGGTGCATTGTCTCCATGTACTCTGGTTTCCTTCCACCTACCACTCATGGATGCAGTTGGCCAAACGTCCCCATGCAGGACTCTCTTGAAAAAGTGTCTGGAGACTCGTGAGGTTTTATTTGACTTTGTAAATAATGGTATTTAATATAATCTAATTTGGGTGGTTCTGTTCTTTATACGTTCCACTTATCACGAGAAGGTTGTGAATTAAAATTTCAGTTCACGGTCAACTTTACCTATCAAAATCAGCAGTCACGAAAGTTTTAAGTCAATCTATTCATGGTCGTCAAAATCACCACCTCTTTAGATGAGTATTTTTTTTTCTATGCAAGACTGTTCCCCCACCAAAGAAACGTGAAATGTCCACCGCTGGTTCAGGACTGCCAACGAAGTCTGCTGACCACGGGTCATATGGGCATGAAAACAGAAGGATACTTTGACCTTTATACTGCATGTTTTTTTCAGTCGTCTATGATATCTTAAAGTGCAGATACGTAAAGTGCAAAGTAGGCATTAACTGCTTCAGTTGCAATTCACAATATAGGATGAAGGAATTAAGTGACTTGCCAACGAAAGCTCCTGTATACAACCTGAAATATTTTTGTCCAGTTATATAAGACTGTAGAAAGTGGAAACACTACATAAATAATCAATGTACTTGATTTACTGGAATTAATCCAATAAAGCATTATGAGTTTAAGTACCAACTACTTTTATTCTGGCTGAGTTGCTGTGGGCACAAGACATAAATGCAATGTGAAAGGTCACAAGTTAAATTTCGGGATCAGGGGTCGATTAATTGTATTCCATTTTGTGATACGTGAACAGGCTAGTCCTGTAGGTATACTGATCCCTGTCATAGGAACGTGGGATATCCACGACTGGGATGGGTCTGTCAAATAAGATTAGTGCCACAATAGTGCATGTTTAAGTTGGGGACCTTAAATTGGATAACATCACTGTTAAATTTAACTGGCTTCCATACTCAAATGTGGAGAGCAGAGCTTATTTTCTCAGCTGCACTGAGCCTATAGTGGAAATTCCACATTCATAGCAGGAGCAAGTGTGTCATTAACATAGCCATTGTTGATTTCCTGACAAATGGTATAGTTTCATCATGTGAGGATGAAGATGGAGGAGGAGGATGTTGTTAAAGCTGAGTTGACCTTGACTGGGATTTGAACTTACGAGCTCATGAAAGGGAACCTTGCTCAACCAAATGAGCTAAGTCCCAGTCTTACAAATCAATTAGAATACGTTAATCACTCAAGCACAACAGTCTGGCCAGATCCATTGTTTAAGACTTACGACCATAGAGGCATTGGCTAAAAGTGCTCTCGTCAGTTTTTCTGAGCTGGCGTTTTTCCTGAACTGGCAACCTCAGCTAGTCAGACTAATAGGGGAGAGCTTTGGTCTGGCAAGCCCAAATGTCTTGCTAGCTGAAATACTAATTAAAATCGGTATATATTGTGTTATTTTTTATATTGTATTTACATTTTTAGTCATCCATTTGTTTTATATTCTCCTACCTTGTGCGGCTTAATACAAAATCTGGCTAGACAGGATCTGTCTAGCCAGTGTTTTACTGTAACTGTATGCTACAAAAATGTCCTGAAATGCATTCAAGTCAAAGTTAGTGTCGCTCGAGTGTCATAGGAGTATTGGCAGTGCTCATCTCTATTGGCAGCCCTAAGCCAGTGGTGTCAATTCCACATTAAGCAATTTCTGTTGTGCCACAATGTAGGTAGAAATTTAATCTACCCTGAATGGATGATGGGCTGAGCAGACCAGTTACCAGCATTTGAACTAACAATTTTCTCATTGAGAGTTAAGTGCTCAACCCTTAGCTCCACCCTGCCCAAGTTTGAAATATAGTTTTGATTGTGCAAATATGAAACATACGGGCTCCAACAAAGGCACGTTTTAGATGCTTGGTGCCTGTGATGTGCTTGTTTGCATTTAATGTGAGTATTGCAGGTGTGTCTGGTTGCCCGTGTGTGTGTGTGCGCACGCCTCAGGGACTTGCTTTAGCACAAACTGTGGAAGACCTTGTATTTTAATTTTTAAAAAACGGTGGCCACGTAGATGCACCTAGGATGTTACAGTTGCTCATACAATCTCTGGAGGATGCCTTATTTTGGATTTGAGCCTTGCGTGTGCTGGCTGAACCCAAATAAACTGTTCTTTTACGTACTCTTTGTTTTTTTTGGTAAAGTCACGTAGATAAAATACAATAAAATTAAAAAAGAAAACAACTAAATCAAATCACGACGTTTCGGAGGCAACATAAGCTTCCGTCTTCAGGTGGAACAGTCGGCAAGATAGCTGCATCAAGTGGGGAACTCTGAGACCCTCGAGCTTATATACAGGTTAAGGTGGGGGGGGGGAGGAGGAGCCAAGCAGGAAACAACAGCGAGGCTAAGTTAATCTGTCTTTTGTTATGTTGAGGGTTCGGAGGAAGCGGTGGTTCACTGCACGGGGGCAATGAAAAATGGTGAAAAATGGTAAAATAAGGCTGTGCGCTTATAAGGTAGCTGAAGTTTTGACTTGGTTTATGACATCTTTCCAGTGGTTGATTAATTTAAAACCATCCTCTCGGTTGAAGTTGTGTCTATGTTTGTATATCTGGATGGCTTCATGGACAAATCTTTGGTAATAACCGGGAGGTTTGCATAGTACCTTGGTATCGGAGAAAACAATGTCATGACAACCCGCTGTGTTGAGACAATGATCAGCCACAGCCGAAGAATTCGTTCTGCCGTGTTTCAAATGTGATTTGTGCTCGCGAATTCGGTCAGAAATATGTCGTTTCGTCTCCCCGATATAGCAGTCACCGCAGATACAACTCAATTTGTAAACACCGGGGTACTGTAAGTCAGGAATGACATCCTTTACGGATGGGATCAGAGATCTACTTGACTTTACCGAAAAAACCAAAGAGTATGAATCTTTGCAGTCACGAAAGCCTCAAATCTAGAATGTTCTTTTACGCTTGCAAGTTTCTTCTAAAGCCTAAGCAATTCATATTGTGCAAGTATGGGACGTTCAAACGGTGTACTAGGAATTTGTCTTGGTTTTTTATTTGTCTTAGTTTGGCCTGTGGAGTTCGTGTTGGCCCATGGCTCTTAAACACGGCAGCCGTGAAAATATCTGTTTAATATGAAATTAATTGATATCCATTTGCGTTGTCCAATGTACAGTGTCTGTTCACCCCATTTTATGTCTATATAAATAACCTAATGGAAATACATATAATTTTGCTCATAATTTCTAAGTATAATAACCATTAGCACTCGGTAGCATATGGAATATTTTGAGGTGTTACCAAGTGGCTAAGTGGTCAGCAAACTTGCCACTGAACCAATTTGCAATGAGTTAATGGTTCAAATCCAATAATTGTTTTTTTACCCTCTAATCTGGCAACAAAATTGACACCTTTTTTACAAGGAGTCATGTTTGCATTGACCACAATACCTGCGGTCGAAATACAAACAAAAAACATAACTCTGATAATGTATGCACTGTCCTTGAAAGTGATTGGTCCACACCCGAGACAGCTTTCCTTAGAGCCTAGTCTTACATGGTGTTGGACCAGATGACGCCAAAATAAAAAAAAAGTGTCAGTTTTGTTGGCAGATAAAAGGGTAAAAAACCAATTATCATATTTTGCTACTGGCAAAGGAGGTTCCAATGGTTCAAATCCAGTTCGTGCTACAGTTGCCCAGAACTGCTTTTTGCGTTTAGTTTGTTGTCTTTCCCCCACACCTCCGCTTAGCACGGTTGGCTACGTATGGTACGAAATAAGTTCAACATATATACATAATTTGTGACAGGTAATTAACAGATCTTGACTTAAAGCTTTCGTGACTGCAGGAATTCATACTCTTTGGGTCTTTCGGTAAAGTCTACGTGACTTTATCGAAAGACCCAAAGAATAAGTAATTAACAGATTGTGCTGTCCTATGTTAAGTGGGCATTAAAGACTGTCATTGCATAGCAGAGTAAGCAAATCCAAAGTTTGGAGTACAACATAAAAAATAGTGTTATATGTGTAATGATTATAATCAGGAAGAGAAGATTGCGATGGGTAGGGCTCATGTGAAGTTTGGAGGAGGGCAGGTTACCAAGACAGGCATTGGAGTGGCATCCAGAGGTTGGTGACCAAGGAAAATATGTACAGCAATATGTTGACTGCACTAGTTGTGGAGCCTAACAAAAGCAAGGAAGCAATGGCAATGTGCTGCACCAACAGCATTGTCCGCATTTACGTCATTGTTCGCCTGAAACGCAGTAATTTCCTGCCGTTTAATTTTATTACCTTTCCACAGCAACCCAGAACACATACTTTACAAAAGTTAAACAATCTCAATGAGCTCTCCAATGGTTAACGTCGTCATATTGTTTTAAAAATACACTACATTTAATTGCCGATTCCGCACCATTTGGTGTATTGTCTGTGTGTGCGTTTCGTACGCGTGTGGGTATGAAGCTGTGTTTAGCTTTTTCATGCAGGCCACGAGCCCAGCCACTACTTGCCCAATCGGCTATTGTTTGGCTGGACAGGGGGAGATAATTTGGTGAGGCACAGGCTAGAACAGATGGACTGATCTGGTATGGGAGAGATTTAGCGATTAGTGAACTCACTGACAACTGGTAACAGTGGTCTCATGGTCAGCTTCTGGAGGAGGCTTGAGAAAGATGCCACTGGGCAGTGGGAGATAGCTCATATCAGTCACAACAAGAGGTGGAGCAGCAACCCTCACAGCAACGAGCAGAGCATCTGGTGGTTAAAACACAGCTGGTTGGCACTGGGGAGTGCAGGTGGTGCACCTGCCAGTTACTCTGGTATGTTAATTTACAACATCTGGACCCACACACATCGTAGGGAAACCTTCCAATATTGGCTTGACAAAGGGATAGAAATGATTATTGTACAGTATATAACATTTGGGACTGCCCTGTGAGTTCCTGGCAGCCACTCCACATGGCCGCAAAGTGCTCCTAGACTGGTAAGTGCTATGGTGACATCACCACAGTTTATTAGCAAATAAGGGTTGCTGCTGCTTTGTTCGCATGTTAGTGAGGAATGGCTTTGTAGTGGTTCATATACTGAATTTAAGTCTTAGTTACCTGGGTTAAGCTTGTGGCCATGTGCAACATTGTAGGCCTCCACTAAGTCAGATCAACGATATATCAGTGTCTCACTATCTGGTGCAATGTGTGAAAATCAGCACTGGGGAGATAAAGGTGGATAATAGTGTATGTATGCTGAACTTTTTTTCGCACCATACGTAGCCAACTGTGCTAATCGAAGTGCATGGTGTTCAATATAGCAGACACTTGCACTTCACTGAAAGTGATTTACTGAGCAGGCTTGAGTGTGGGCAGATGCAATTGTATTACCACTACTATATTTATCATCTATTTTACTTACATAAGGTTGGCAAGTCTGCAAGCGTGCCTGCAATGCTCATCGGAAATTGCTGTGTCACTTAGGAAAACTTTGACTTGGAGAAAATTTTCAAAAGCACCACATTCCAAAAAAATGCAATGTTCCGAGTACAAATAGTATGTACTAATGCCGTCGAAATAAAATGGTATATTAGAATCCAGTTGGCCGCACGGCTTAGTCTGGCTTAGTGCCAGGGCAGGGCACTAAGCCATGATGGATAGTGACAGAGGAGTCTTGGAAGATCGTGAGTGCCATGGAGTGGTGTTCCTACTCTTCTCTGAGCAACTATTTAACTTTTTCTATGCTATTAATATTTTATTTTACCAAGTAAGGCCCACTCAGCTATATAGCTCTTTTTCAGAAGCTACCTGGCCACAAATTATTGCTCAATGAAGTGCCTTGTCACGTGCACAAACAATACGAGTGCATAATAAAGGAAAAAAATAAGCAAGTCGCTAAAAATAAATGAATATACGTAAAGTATAGAAGTAAAAATTGCACATGTACATAAATTCCTGCAGATGTGTCAACACTAAATGCAAGATTGGGTAAGGGAGCAACAACAAGAACATGGGTAGCAGCACACATGAACTTATAATCACAAGTTTACAAGTAAACTGATAATATATCCACTGGAATTTTTAATATATCATAGTTTCATACTTGCCATCTAGTGATATGCGCGTTACTTTTTGTGACGTCACGTATTTTGTGTTATTTGTTTTACTTAAGATCTTCTGTCTGGTTTGTCTGTGTGTGTGTGCGATTGTGATCGTGTGCACAGGTTATATTCCTGCATGGACTGGGAGACACTGGGTAAGACTACGAGTCATACTGTGCGCACAACTGCTGTCCATGTTTCATCAGACTGGGCTTGATATTCCCTGCCAGGATCTACTTTATACAATGCAAGGGTATACAGACCGGAAGTGACAAGGTGGCTCAGGGGGTTATTTATGGCCATGTCACAGCATTGAGTTGGTAATGCTGGGAGACCTGGGTTCGAATCTGGGTTTCAGCCGCTCGCGAATGATCTAGGTTCTGAGGCTTAGTGATATGATGATCTCAGCCTGGTCACCAGTGACTGCACAAAACACCCCATTGCATTAAATAGAAATATTCACTTTAAGTCGATATGCCGTAATTAGTGTTGGGTAGGAGAATTACACTGAGTGTGTTTTCCGAGTGGATTATTACCTCATGAAGCTCAAAGCAATTTGAGCAAACGTCAATGTTTATGTTAATTTCAGTGATCAATAATCTATAGCCACCAGTGAGGAGCTTTTTCTCAGAATGTGAGTAATACATTGACGGATATAAGTCATACATTTGTAAACGTGACAACATTGTCGGGAAGTGGAGGCTGATTGACAAAAGGGAATTTGCATAAAACTACTGCGTGGCCTACACCAAAAACAAATATTGATGATCGTACTGGCTGCAAAATTTAAATGTTTATATCTCCTTTTCCTTTCAAATCTCACTTCACAAGCTCGTGCAATTTTGACTTTGTGTAAGGTTGTCCTTTTTAACATGTAAGCTTTTGCGACCAATAAAAAAACCTGTTTTATTGAAGTTTATTCTTCACAGGGTGGCTTTGCAAAGAGCTGCTTAGCTCCCAGTGTCACCCCCCCTTGCTGCACACACAGCAGTTGTTTGGGGGCCACGCTACATGAAACCAATTTGTTGTGCTGCTTTAATGGGTGCGCTAGATCGCCAGGGCTATTGTTGGCATCTGTGTCATCTCCGTGTTTTTAATTTCAGGCACGGCTGGGCTGAAGCCATGGCAAGCATCCGCTCCCCACACATCAAGTACATCTGCCCCCATGCGTAAGTGTTGCTCCGAGTTGAGTATCAGGTGGATCGACGGGTTCAGAATGGCTGTGTCATAGACACGGAACTGACAACACTCATATCCTGGATTCATATCCCAGTTTAATTAGTTAATGACTGTAAGTGTAGTGAGTGTGATGGACTCAGCCCAATCATACAAGGACTACACAAATGTGATGTGGCTATTTGTGGCTATTGGGTGGTAGTATGGCAACTAGCTGTGCTGTCTGTGTATTTTGGGGTATTATAATCTTTAAATCTAGAATATTATCATCTTGTATACTTGGTTTTCCCCAGTTATCCCAGTTTCAAAATTCTAAAAGATGCTTGGTACTCATCAGACCTGGCTCTTGGTGTCTCCTTCATATTTCCCGCAGTTAAACACTCACTTGTGGGGCAAATAATTTGATAGTGACGATGAAGCAACGTGTGTAGGGAAAATTTTGACTTAAAACTTTGGTGACTGCAGGAATTCATGTTCTTGGTTCTTTCGGTAAAGTCACGTAGATAGAAAACAAAAAGCAAAAAAAAACCCCACAACGTTTCGCTCGCAACACAAGCGGTCTTCAATCAGGTGGAGAGAAAAGATGAAGACCACCGCTAGTGTTGCGATCGAAACGTCATGGGTTTGTTTGTTTATTTTGATTTTTGCTTTCTGTCTTCGCGACTTTACCGACAGAACCGAGAATGTGTATAGGGAACTTGCAATTTGAGGAACGAGACGGGGCGTTTTAACATGCAATGTCAAGTGCAATGCACTCCAAGAGTATTATGTACAGAAATATCATGGCTTTATCAGTGTCATTCACTGTTTTTCCCTGTCAGGTGACAGGTTTTTCTGTCATCTGTCTCACATTGACACTGCAAAGTGACCACATGCAAGTGCTGTTGCTAGCACCAATCTTCTATCAAATTAGCTGTGATTCTTTTTAATAATTATTCCTCCCCAATAAATATTTAATACCGTGTCTGCGTTGTCACAGTAATGCCTTTTCAGGGTGGCTGTGCATTTATAAGCTGCATTTTGGATGGGCCATTTGACAACTCATTAAAATATCTTGTCCATTACCATTTTGGGACATTTGTGTTGCCTAATTGGTTTAATATCGTTTGCGACAATTGGTCCGAGATTTAAATGTTACTATTATGATTCTTTACAGTGTGATGATAGTAATAATGAGACGGCTGGGTGCCTGGGCTCATAATGGCCTTGTCAGCCCCACTCGTCTTGCACCACAGTGATCTTGGGTTCTTATTTAGGTTCTATCAAACCGTATTGGCTTGGATGCTGAAATATAACACAGAAAAAAAGCTATTCAATTAATTTGGTTTCTCACATGTTTTGACCGCGTGCAGCTGTGAAGGCTGAAATTAGCATTGTATTGTACTATTGCGGTTAGCCTTTCTTTAAAGAACAGAAATCAGCACTCTGTATGGGCTGAGAGAGGGTTATTGAAGTAGTTCGGTGGTGTCACATGTGACATGATGGTTCAGAATAATGTTTGTTCACCTCATTACATAACTCCAATTGGGGCAATTCCAGCATATTTGATTATACATTTGCACATAACATGTAGCTTTGTAACCATAGACAAGGAATGCTTAAATAAATAAATATAATTTTTACTATTCACATAAAGTGATTTTTATAATGCATCCCATAAAAAAATCACGATTTGGAGTTCCTGGATTTCTTGCCCAAAGAAATTCACGTTTTGCATAACAGAAATGGACAAGCATTTGGCATTTTATCAAAAGTGTGTGATGTTTGTAACCTGCATCCAAAACATTTAATTATACTTTGTAAAAAAAGACCTGGCTGCACTCATAAATCGTATTTATGTACCATGTTTTAATATGTTAATGGTACTACCTGAAGACCACCATTATGGATGTAATGGTGTCTGAACCTAGAGTGTCATTTAAAATCCCAGACAAATTGTAATCACAGCTGGATTTTGCTTAATGTGCATTTAATATGGTATTTTAATGTGTACTATCCTTTATATAATTGTATTTTTTATGCTAAAATTTAAACCCGGTGCACTCGCACTATAACACGAGCTTTCTTGAGAATTTTGTGATAAAGGATGCAGTTTGAAAGAAAAAACATTAAATTCCATTACGAGAATTGACCCGAATTCCTGCACTTCTGATATATGATTTCATGGCAATGTGATATTCCGCATTTTCTTGATTTAAAATTAATATTTCGCTTGTACATGATATGTCTCGTGATTTCTTTGTGTTCATAATGCTACATCCATAACGCAAATTTGGATGCATACTACTCTCAATCGCCATCAGCCATAATACAGGGGGGTTTCAAAAAGATGGATCCGATTTGAAATTGCTATATCTCTGCAACCACGAACCACCCATGAATTAAACTCTTACCACTTGAATGGGCGGGGCATAGAGTTTAAAATAATTACTGCTAGATGCTTCTCCCAGCGCACAAACAGCCCCTAACCTCAGTCATTCGCAAGATGGTGACCCCACAACACAAGGTGTTTTGCGTTCTGCAGTTCAGCAAGACTGAATCCGTAATTGCGGTGCAGCGTGCGTTTCAACGGCGTTTTGGCATTGATCCGCCAATGTCAAAGAGCATTCGTCGTTGGTACCCACAATTTGAGGAAACAGGCTCTTTATGTAAGGGGAAGAGCACAGGGCAACCACGCACCCCAGAGGAAAACGTGAGAAGAGGCATTTGGGACGAATTCAAATATCGTCTCAATGTTGTCCATACAGTAGGTGGAGGTCATCATAGAGCATTTATAAAATGGTTAGTAAAACCTGATAACTCATTAAGCCGTTTGTAACTTTTTGTGTAATTGTAAACCATCGTAAAATATACTGCTTTGAAATTGGGTCCATCTTTTTAAAACACCCTGTATATCCACTATCAGATGAAGGTCTCGCTCAGCCATTACCACCTCTGAAATTTTTCAATCAAAGAGATTTACCTCACTGTTTTTGAAACCTCTAATTTAACTGTAAATATTTAACAAGTATGAGTGATCTTCTTTGGTTCTTTCGGTAAAGTCACGTAGAATGAGAATAAAATAATAAATTGATAAAATAAAATAACACAATAATATTCTCACGACGTTTCGGCCACAACACAAGCGGCCTTCATCAGGTGAAGGGACGAGACTGTCTTCACCTGATGAAGGCCGCTTGTGTTTTGGCCAAAACGTCGTGAGAATATTATTGTGTTATTTTATTTTATCAATTTATTATTTTATTCTCATTCTACGTGACTTTACCGAAAGAACCAAAGAAGATGAATCATTGCAGTCACGAAAGCTTTAAATCGAAAAGTATGAGTGACATTGACCATTTTAATAGGTGTATATTTCCTGCCATGTCATGCATTGCAAACACGAACGCGGACAAAATGTAACAAAAGCTGAAAAGTATGCAAAGAAGCATGGGAGGTGCATGCTTTGAATAGCAGGAAAACATTGCCAAACCTGAGGGTTACGTTGTTGGAAAATGTTAAATGTACATCATGGATGTCGTGCAGGCAATGGAGGTTAGCTCAACTAATACCTGCTTGAATAAGGAAACACCTGACTTTGTTTACGTATGTTTTTGTGTGTCTAGTCCACCTATGCCAGTCACGTTGAATATGAAGATGACAATGCCTTCCTGGTAAGTGCTCACAACTATTACATGGTTCTCAATTTAAATTACCATTGTCACGCCTATCGGATACACTATTTAGTGTGTGTGTTTGCTCCAAGCGTGGCAGCAGCTTTATCATTTGTAGAATGCTGCATAGCTCAGACTGCCGCTAAGCATGGTTAGCGGATAGTCTTCTACAATATTCGTCATCATCTCTCATGCACTGATGCAACTGGGTATTGCAATCTGTGTGTATTGGTTGCTACTGTCCCCACATTAACCACACCATTTCACGCAATAATTGTTTTTGGAGGAATAAGTATTTGTTCAAAGTAATCAGCTGGCACATGCTATCAATCGTAACCTGATTGAACACCAAATGCAAAGTAACACTTTGGGATTATCATTACCTCCCTTTGGTAATCTGATTACTCCACACAAAAAATCTAACCCCATCTAGCAGGAAAAAGCCTAGTCAGGTAACCCCCATTTTCCCACCAGATTGAATGAACTCGACACAAGTTTACAAAGACATTCTTAGCTCATAATGCTCAGGCATCGATAAATCTTTTCTCTGTCTGACACACATCCCTCCCCCCACCTCCCAACCACATCCACTAAAGCTGCGATTTACTGCGACTCAGCATTAGAGAGCTACGTTATTGAGTAGTTTAGGACAGTTGACAAATGCACCATGCATAAGACTGGTTTGTGATCGCTACTAAGGTCTGTATGGTGTACTTCAGAGGTTTTTATTTTTGTTGTCGCCACGTAGCTCAGAAGGCACACGCTAGTTGTGTCATGTGACATATAGCCAGCACCTCAGATGCTCGATTTGAATTAAAATTTTAGACAAAAGTTTCACCGCTTGAAATTGGATTTTAAATACTTTGCAATACTTTGCGATACCACAGCTTTGAGGGCTAAATGTTTCATGAATACTTGTCATGTTCCAGGTTTGACATCATTGACCTCAGCCTGGATGCCAGGGAAGATGAACAGGGCATCAAACAAGCAGCAGAACATGGTAACCCTTGACTTATTACATGAACAGTGAGAGATGACTGGTTGTCTCTGTGGCTAATACTGTTTCACAGCACTTAACCAGCACCTCTGAGATTCTGAATTCAAATCCATATTTCAGCCACTGGTGATTTTGCCAGATTTGAATGTTATAATAAATATATTTATTAGAGCACCTTGAACAAAACTTAATGTCCCCATTCATTGTACAATCTAAATTAAACTGCAATTACAAACAAAAAACAATACAGTGGTCCCTCGTTTATCGCGGGGGATACGTTCTTAAAATAACCCGCAATAGACGAAATCCACGAAGTAATCAGCTTTATTTTTTACAATTATTATACATGTTTTAAGGCCGTAAAACCCCTAACCACACACTTTTATACACTTTTCTCAGACGGGCATTAACATTTTCTCACATTTCTCTCTTATTTAAAAACTCTCAAAGTTCAAACTTTCGCAGATTTAAAAAAAATAAGTACAATATTAGTAAATGAAACTAAAGATCAAAACCTGTTTTCAAGCCCAAACATTTTTGTAAATCTGGCTAGCCGAACACATTCTGTACTCCCTTAGCTAATCAGGACGCAGAACACATGTGCGGTTCTCCCTTAGCCAATCAGGACGCCGAACACAATGCACGTTCATACTGTATGCAGGAAAAAAAAGCATGCAAAATTACACTAAAAAAAATCCGCGAAACAGCGAGGCCGCGAAAGGTGAACCACGTTATAGTGAGGGACAACTGTAGCTCGTGGAAAAAAGGAGTTTGGCAATGCCATTTGCAGAAACATTGGAAATTTATTAACACAAAAATCCCAAGACTGTCATGTAGCACAGTGACATTTAAGAAAATAACATTTGTACTTTTCCTGAAAAAAATCACATATAAATACAACAGCCAACACAGTTCATAAAGGTTTTTGGGTTAGATCGCGTAAGTATAAATGTGTCCGTAACCCTCCACCACCCGACACAGCCAGTACGGTTTGTCACGTAAACAACGCGCACATTTACAATTTAAGTTCCACAAATTTTGAATGTTGTGGATTTACTTTCCAACACATCGCGGTGGGCTGAAGTAGTAACTAATTGGCGCATTGTTTACGTGACAAACCTTACTAGCTGTGTCGGATTTGGAGGTTTACGACACATTTATAAACTAGATTCGAAGCTTTCGTGACTGCAGGAATTATTCTTTGGTTCTTTTGGTAAAGTCACGTAGAAAGAAATTAAGTAAAATAATAATAGAATACGACGTTTTGATTGCAACAGAAGCAACCATCATCAGGTACAAATGAATGAGAAAACAAATATAGTAAACTTGGAAATATAATGCAATACAACACAGAGAGTCGGCCAACAAAACAGTCAACACCCCACCTGGTTGATTACATTCTTCCAAAGATTGCTAAATTTGAGAGGGAGACAAAACATAGACACGGAGACACACAGACAGACACACAAGCAGAGAGAGACTCACACAGAGACAAACAGAGAGAGACACACATAGGCACACAGAAAGACAACGTCTCTGTGTCGAGGCCTTAAATAGAGAGAGAGGGGGAGTTGTGTGGAATTCTTGCCAATAGCGAACGGACGAGCTGGACACTGGACTTCTAAACAAACAAGCACGGAGCGTTGTGTGGAATTACTGCCCATAGCGGCCGGAGGAGAGAATGGACTTATAAACAAGCACGGTAGAAATCATTACACTTCCTAATTGTACTAAATTTGCTTTTTACCATGCTTGTTTAGTTATTTTATTGAAATCCAAAGAGATCATGATGTTGCACTTGGTTGACCGCCAAATTGTATTCAAAGTCATAACCTTCCCCGTGGGAAGTCGAGCACTCTAGTTCATGCAGCGTGTGGCTGATTTATACACAACAGTGCACATTGCTCATTTACATTTACCTTCTGACAGTTATCTGTCATCAGTGGTTTTTGCTCATTTACATTTACCTTCTGACAGTTATCTGTCATCAGTGGTTTTTGCACACGAGTTTTAATATATACGTTTTTTATTTGATGGGATCAGTTTGGAGGCAGAAATTGGCAGGGTGAATTTGAATATGGGCGAGATGAGTTTTTCATTACTTGTGAGATTTGCACTGGCATCTCGTTAATGGTCTGATAATGAATAATTAAGAAAGATTTCCAGTACCGGCTTTAATTTCCACTCCACCGTGAGTAGCAAAAACGGGGACACGGTGTTTGTGTGTGGTCCAGACAACTTTAACAAATTGATATTATACCATTTTTTTAGATTAATTTGGAAATGTCCTTTTTTATTTTAGCCTGCAATCTACACAGGGTGTGGTGGCACATTCCTATGATCCATAGCTATGGAGGCACGGTTGGTAGATCACGCAGAGATCGTGACGTGTTGTCACTCCCAGCCTATAGGGCTGCCAGGTTGCCAAGTAGATGCAGCGAATGGGTAGCTGACCAATCCCTGTGGACCTTTGGGTACTATTCTTTCATGTGGGTGGGTTTTCTTCAGGCACCGGTTACCTCTCAAATGCTTATAAATGCGAATTAATTATGAATGAGTTTGCCAACATTTCCAATCAGGATCCTTCTAATAAAAGAAGTGGTGAGATTTGTGCGATGATTTTCTAGGAATTACTGTGCTATTTTTATCGTATCCCCTAGAGCTCGGGGTTATTTGCAATTCATAGTGTGGAATCTCAATGCCGTTTTAGAACTGCATACGATTCCTAGTGAAGTCGTTGGATGGGCAGAATTGTAGGGGTGGATTGGGAAGAGCCCGGTGTGGCATTCAGGCATGATGGGAGTGCCCACGTGGCCTGCTTGATTTCAGGGAATCACCAATGAAATATATGGCCAATGCTTAAGTTGTACATTTTAATGGCGATTTTGATTAATACCATCCAGATAGAAGCAGGGGTTGAGACACCACCCACAAAACATTTGCAGTAATGTTAAAAGTAATCATTTCATCAAATGACTTAGCTTTTAAAATACCAAATAGGGCATTGCAATTGAAAGGCTCCAAGTTTTTAATGAATGACGTCCACTGGGTGGTGCTGTGGTTAAGCTGCTCGACTCAGTCATGAGGTTGTGAATTAAATGATTCGATTAAAGTCTTTTCAGCATATCATCCCTTATGGATTAATAATTGTACTACTTTGTGAAAAGCCAGTAGTTGCGTATCCTATGGAATATGGAATTTTCACCACTGGTCTGTCTCAGCAGAAATGTGCACAGACCTATGCTCGTTTGCACAGGAACACTTTTCTTGCAAACTGTAATGTCAGCAACTGCACACAGACATGAGCTCTCACTTGCAGTGTATGTTCACGTGATGTGTTTCCTGTTCTCTTGTCGTGCGGCGTACAGTAAAGAAAATGATTGACCAGGAGGTGGAGAGCGGCATCCCGTCCAACAGGATAATCCTAGGGGGATTCTCACAGGTATTATCCGGCACGCTGACACCAACACACCGCATGCTGCTGTCACAGTGTTCTTGTCATGGTCACCCCATCAGACAATCTCTCTCCACTGCTAGAGAAAGACTTATATTTGCCACAATTTGACTTCTGTTTTCACATTGACTCTTTGGTGCGTATCACTTGGCTTTGTCTGTCTTCAATATTCTGTCTGCAATTTATGCCTGGCTTCTCTCATTCTGCCTGTGTCTAAAATACATTTCTGTTTCTATTGGTGTGTTGTAACAATATAGGTTGTTCATAAAGTTAGGAAACAGAGGTCCGTGTTTTATATTTTTAGCCACTAGATGTCACTCTAGGCAGGCTTACAGAAACACGATTTGCTCACAGGGTTTATTCACAATTCCATACTTGTGTATATACGTACACGTGCTGAGTGTGTGTAATTAGTACACTGGCACAGTAGTTAGCACACTGCCATACTAACCCATTCGCCCAGGTTCAATTTCCAGCATGGATAACATTTTTCTATCTGAGCTTGTCTTGGCTGTCCATTAGGAGTATCTGGTGTGGTGTGTAAAACATCAGCACTGTGTAGACAACTTCTGCCCGAGTGTCGCATCTTGGCCTTTGTTGGTGCTTGCTCACAGCAATGCTCCCTCTGGCCTATAAGGTCAAACAAAGGGTTATTGTATGGTGTGGTGTTATCTTAATACATGTGTAGTGGTTGTCCCATACAATCCCTGGGACAGAGTAATCAAGAAGGCTGGAGCGAACACTCCATGCTCTAATTGGTTAGAGCATGGGGAGCAAGAGGATTGGCCGGAACATTAAAAAAGGAAAATAACTGGAGGGTTGGGTGAGTGTCAGGTGGGATGGTTAGGCCAAGTGAGGGTAAGAGAGGATGATTGGTGGAGACGGAGTGCGACTAGGGGTGGAGCCATGAAGAGGTTAAAAGGGAGCAGGAGGCGGTGTTCGGGGCATTGTGGGAGAGAGCGAGAACGAAGGTGCGGATCCGTACCGTGAAATAAAGACCTTACCTTGTGGACAAATAAAAGGGTCAGTCTTCTTTTACATGGTACACCTACCCAAAATATCAGAGCACCCAACAGCATTGGTGTAAGAGACCATTATTTTATTGTGAGACTCCATGAAGTAAAAATATGACCAAGATGACCTTGTTTAAACAAATGCCACTGGGGAACCTGATCTTCAGGACATCAGAGTGTTTGTCTTACGCTTTTCGAATGAGCATGGGACAGCATCCATCTCCACTGCCTCCAGCCACCATTGGGAATTCAAAATTTATATGGGCGGGGGCAGAGGGCATTCTCTTTATTGGACAACCACTGTAGTCTAACCAAAAAGTAGTTATCATTTTCTCAAACACTGAGGTATGATGATGCAATGGGTCAACCCCGATCAAGAGTTGAACTAACTCTACCAATTGGGAGCTGAGCGCACTAACTATAGCACCACGGATAATTTGTTTTGCCGCTGATGACTATTTCGTATTAACTCGGCAGCCCAGTTTGCCAATTTGGCACAAAATGCGTGCATTGTGAATGTGCTGAAGACGCAGTACAGGGTGTTGGGTAGACGTGGTCAAGCTTGGAGCTGTGGAGCAATCCCTCTCCAACCGGAGGGCACATGTTGCCACACAAAATAATGACACTTGTTTCAGGGCTTTGATCAGTATCGTAATGACGTCCGTGGGATGTCTGTGGGTACACTACCAAATGCAGACACATTTAATAAGGAATTGGTTGAACATCGTAATTCAGAACCCCCCTGGAAAAAGAGTCCTTGAATCTTGAGAATAGGTTTTCCCCTTTTTTCTGGCAACAAAACAGGTGTTAATATGTTACAACACCAAACTGAAACCTTTTACAAGGAATCATGTCTGCATTAACCACAATACTTGTGGTCAGAATGCAAACAAAAAACGTAATCTGATATTATATGCATTGTCTTTGAAACTGATTGGGCCACACCAGAGACAGCTTTCTTTAGTCTCAAATGGTGTTAGACCAGAGGATGCCTTGGGTAAACAAATTTAATTTTAACTCCTGTCAGTCATCATTAGCACACATAGAGGTTTTTGGATTAGATCGCGTAAATATATAAATGTGTCGTTATAACCCGCCACCGCCCGACACAGTCAATTAGTAAGGGTTGTCTCGTAAACAGAACATGCCAATTCGTCACTAGAACAGCACACCGGTGTGTTGGAGAGCCAAACCACAACATTTACAATCTGAGTACGATGTTTCGCCAGTAATTACAACTAACTTATTACAATTAACTTACTTCTTTGGTTCTTTCGGTAAAGTCACATAGAATGATAATAAAATAATAAATTGATAAAATAAAATAACACAATAATATTCTCACGACTATTATTGTGTTATTTTATTTTATCAATTTATTATTTTATTATCATTCTACGTGACTTTACCGAAAGAACCAAAGAAGATGAATCATTGCAGTCACGAAAGCTTTAAATCGAAAATTAACTTACTGGCGAAACGTCGTACTCAAGAGTGTAAATGTTGTGGCTTGGCTCTCCAACACATCGGTGTGCTGTACTAGTGACGAATTGGCATGTTCTGTTTACGTGACAACCCTTACTAGTTGGCTGTGTCGGGTGGTGGCGGGTTTTAACGACATTTACGTGATCTAACCCAAAAAAACTTATGGATGATATTGGTCGCGAAAGCCTACATGTTAAACTGATCATTAGCAAAGTATGCTATTTCTTGTAAAATTCATGTTAAAGACCTTGTTCTCGAGGTGGCAGAGTGGCTCAGAGGTAGGAATGTTGAGCTGGCACTGCTGAGGTCCTGCTTTTGAACCCAGGCTGCTGCCTATGAATCAGTGGGTTTGTAGACTGATAAATTTAAATTGGTTTTACTGCTGAATTCTTAAAAAACTAAAATTCCAAAATGCATTCTATTCAACAGTAGTTCTACATTTTTTTAAGTAGTTAAAAATTTACTGATTTTTTTTCACATGATATTCCAATTGTGCGATTTTTGTAGATGTGTCATTACTCTTTGAAACCCCTGCAGCCATTGGGGTCTCATGTTACGGCAAAGAATGGCCCCGGAAGACAAAACCACTGAACTACTTCTGCAGTCAACCGGCTCTCTCTCAATCAACGTTAAACAGTGCTCATTCATGCTCTGTTAAAACCCACATTTTAAATAATAGGTTTTTTTGTGCAGGTATTGGGGACCAGTCTGAGATCATCAAACTTTCCCTCGAGAATCTGGTTTATTCAAAGGTGGCTCATTACTCTTATGGAGTCATTATAATCCAGCTGAGTGATTCCAATGCTTCTGAATTCGTATTTTTATTTCTCCTGTTTGTTAATTATAATAAAAACCACAACTTCTTTTGCATCGGAACATGGCAAGCCATTACAAGTGGCACATTGTTATACTTAAAGGCCAGCGATCCGTCTCATGCAACAAGATAAGGAATTTCCCGCCATAACTTGTGCTGCTTGAAGTGACAAATTGTGGTAAAATTCCACTTAAGGTGTTTTATGCAACGGCCACAGTCCCCATATTTCTTAATTCACTTCGAGTGCGTTTAGAAATGTTCTCCGCCTAGAGCAGAAGATAAAACTCTTGCATCACACACATCTTTGCTGGTTAAGAAACGCCTCCTAGGGACTGTCGAGTCAGCTGGTTTATATTTTTGGCCAGACATCAGGCACCATGGAAGCCTTCAAAAGTGAAATTCCGTTAATTTTGCACGCGGATGTCGCTGTGCGCTGATGCGTTTTCGTGCAAGCTGTAAACTTTTAAGAAATTACGACATAGCAGAATTCTTGCCGCTTTACTGATAATAAGTAGCTTCATTAAATTCAATGAATATCAGAGGTGTTTTTCTGTCACGAGCTAAAAAAAATTAAGACGTCTCAGGCTATTGGGTACAAGTTTGAACCTTTTGAGAAAAACAACTTAAAATTGCCTTTTGGGCACTCGCTGGTGGTGTTACAAAAGTGACATGCAATAGTAATAAGTGGGGCAGTTCTTCGCTGCCTAACAGAATCCACCAAAACTTGTGTTGATGCTGCATATTGACTGATTTTTTTCCAGTAATTCTCACATTGTTATTTAGTCGCTTCCTTGTCACTCTTTTACTGTGACTATCACAATACAGCAAAAGCTCTGTTTTCTGTCATCAATGGGGAATGGAGGATGCAGGTTAACCAAATACATAAAACTTTTAAAGACATAAATGAAGCCAACATTTTAACTATGATATCAGAAATAATATATTATTTTAAAGAGGTAGTCACAAGTCAGTTTGTCGAGTATTCTAAGTTGATTGTAGAGATGCAGTGGGGCCGTTTAGAGTACAGTATACAGTCGTACAGAACTGCATGTACAGACTGCTGCGAATGCTGCCACTGGGCAGCGGCCTGAAGCTTCCGTAAGCAACACATCTGTGAGAAGCGCACACAGCAAGACGCCAGATGGCTGTCAGAATTTTTGCTGGATACGTGAAGGAAGATTTGTGTTGCTGTCCATGACAGATGCCCGGTAAGAGCATTCTGAATGGTAAAAAGCTGGATAAAGGAGCTTTTGCTGTACATTGTTTCCTATGTATTCACACCTTGATACCTCCACCAGCGTCAAGGACTCACTGGACCAGGTTGACCGCTTCCTGTCATAAATATTACTTAACTTTAGAACTTTTCCAAGTTCCTGTAAACGTGCTCATTTCAAGAAATGTGTTGGTTCTCATCTTTTATTCCAGTTTAACATGTAGGCTTCCGTGACCAATACCCATAATGGAGGATTTTTTTTGAGTTAGATAGTGTTAAATATAAATGTGTCCTTAAACCCGCTACCACCCGACAAAGCCAATTAGTAAGGTTTGTCACGTGAACAAAACATGCCAATTAGTTACGAGTTCAGCACACCGGTGTGTTGGAGAGTAAACCCACAACGTTTACAATTCGATTACGATGTTTCGCCGATAATTTCTTCCATCATTAGTCCACTTTATTGCTGGAAATTTTGCATTTTAGGCATTTGGCCTTAATAATCACTTGCTAACAGCACTTGCCCCTACAGTATACAAGACTAACCGGGGCAGCTTTATCATTCAATAGAGACACCCGTGGTGTGATGGTTCGCTCATTGGGCTCTAATACCAAAAATGCAGAATGGTAGTGGCAAGCCGTATCTGAACATGTGTTCTGAGCCTCCCGTCACTCAACTTACCCTGAAATAAGTAACCTGGTGCAGTGTAAACATCAGCGCTGGGGAGACAAAAAGTGGCTACGTGTGATAGCGGCACACCACATTCTCATGTGGTCTCTGTGTATAATCGTATGTGTTCGTGTGTGTGTGTTTGCAGGGAGGCGCCCTCTCTCTGTACACAGCGCTGACATCGCAGCAGAAGCTTGCCGGCGTGGTGGCCCTCAGCTGCTGGCTTCCCCTTCACAAGTCCTTCCCAGCGGTCAGCTTCTCTACCGCTCTCATCCACATGCTTTCATGCTTTCTATAGTCCCTGCCACACACACGCATGCCATATTTTTCCCTCTTATTCGACGCTCCGGAAAGTAAGATGTACAGTACCCCAAACTCGTGTCAGCTGTCAGTGGCGTTATACAGATCTGGTCACACCCACACACACTAGATTATAAGACCCATCCATATTTTCCTTTAAAAAACAAGGAAAAACTGCGCAACAATCTGGAAAATACGGTACCGGTCTCTTTCTCTCACATGCACGTGAACACACTGCAGGGGTGATGGAGAGGTCTCTGGCTTCTTACAGAAAGAAGGAGGGATCGGTGTTTTCTTTCTCTGCAAAGCTGCAGCGTTGTGATGGTCGTCGTATTTGTCGCTGAAATACAAAACGCAGCATTTCGCTCCGAGACGACACGGCGAGGGGGTGGTGGAGCACGCCTGTGATCCAGCACTGTCGAGGCAGCGAGGGTTGGTGGATCACAGAAATATTGAAAAAAATAATAACAGTTTTTTACTTTTTCTGGCAATAAAACAGGTGTTGAGATGTTCAAACACCAAAAGGATACCTTTTGCAAGGCATCGTCTGCAGTCTGCATTAACCACACGTACTTGTGGCAAATCATGCCACGCGCAAAACATGCCACAAGCACTTGTGGTTAATGCCGACTTGATGCCTTGCAAAAGATATCTATTTGGTGTGAACATCTTAACACCGTTTTAATTGCCAGAAAGGGTAAAACCTATTATTATTTTTTCATCCTTTTGATAGTGGCAAAAAGGTCCCATAGACACATACATAAACTTCCTTCCCGTGGGCGTCAAATTGCCATACCCTGACTCGCCAGGAGAAAGCAGTACTGCAAGTGGACGAATCACCATCTGTTTCCATCTGTACAGTGAACATATGTTGCCCCCCCCCATGCGTGTAGGTTTTCTCCAGGTGCTCCGGGTTCCTCCAACTTGCATAAAAACTCAGCAATTGGTTAAAAATATCTTAAAAATAAAAGTCCAATGCAGGACCTTCCTGATAGTTCTACAATTCAGTGCAGCTCTCCTGGATAAAACAATAAATCTGTCTCCTAAAAAACAATGCTCACCTCCACTGGCATCCCCTGGCAGTGTAAGTTCCACATTCTTTTGATAAGGGATCTCCCCAGAGCATGACCACTGATAACTTGCCACTCATTGGTACTTATGTAGTGTTTATAATGACGAATACACTTCTTATGAGGCACACTCTGTTTATTGTAATACTTCTCTTTACACAGTCCTTAACACACAGAGGGGTATACGGTCTCCTCACCTGATACCCTAAGAAGGTACAGCCTCCGGACTTAGCGTGACCTACACACAGGTCTTTTTGATACCTAAGGAGGTACAGCCTCCTATCTTGGCGGGACTTAACCACACGTCTACCGCTATCCTAGAGTCCTCCGGCTGGGACCTAGGGGAGGCTATCTGACCCACCGCTGGCCCGGCGGGTCTTGACCACTGGATACGCCGAGCCTTAGCCCTCAGAAGGGCTGAAGGCTGGGTCCACGGTCCTTTCTATCTTCAGCCCGGGCTTCGGTCTTCGTGTAGGGAGAGAACTCCCCGCGCTCTGCGCGGTCACCCTTCTTATACCCGTTTATGGCCAGGTGCAACCAATCCCACATTCCCACGTGGAACTGTCTGATTGGTTCTTACCAAACTGGGGCTACGATCCACTTCACCTCGTCTGACCCCAACCGTTATGTACACAGAGGTAACACTGCACTGCCCCTTTGATACCTAGTGGCAATGCAGGTTACCGAACAGTGAGTAGTTAACACCTCTACATCACCCCCTCCTTCGGAAGCTCCAGCCGTCCCGGCTGCAACAAGGTGAAACTCCGAAATTATCAACGATGGAAGAAATGTGTGAGTGCCTCGCGAACAACAAGAACAAGAACAGGAAAAAAAACCCCATATAAATACCCCCCTAACAACACAACGTATGTACAAGGCAATCGGTCATGACACCGAACATACACACAACGCGATAGAGCAGGCGGCGAGTGTAGCAAAACCGATTGGGAACCGGGAACGTGTCAGCAAGGAAGAGAAGCATAATAAAACCGGCGAGATTTAGCGCGCCTGTGTTTCACGGGGCTATTGTAGGGGATGGTAGGCTTCGTCGGCGGCACAGGAGGAGCAGGAGGATGAACAAGAGTGTCAGGTGGGTCATGAGGTGGGTCTTGAGGCACCTCCACGGGGACACCTGACGATCCATGGTCCATTGACGCCGAACGTGGCCTGCACGGAGCTGTCACTCCCGTGTCATCTGCAGGAGGAATGACACGCCTGTGCTGTGGGTTAGGCAGCAACGGGGCAACATCTGGCTCGTCGGACGTGTCGCACACTCGGCCCCCGTGTTGTGTGTGTGTCGCAGGGGCGCGCGGCGCGACGAAGGGTTTTAACCGAGAAGGGTGAACAAACCAGCGACGCCGTCCCCAGCGAATTTTAATACATTGGGGACGCAGGACCTCCATCACCTCCACCGGACCCCGCCATGGCCTGAGGAGTTTTGCCGATGTGGACAAAGGCACCTGGGTGCAGTGAAGCCATGCCCTGTCTCCCGTTGCCCACCGATGCGTGGACGTCCGAGGATCATGCAGTCTCAAATTCGCTCACTGGCGGGAAGCCGAATTTTCAATGGCAGCTTCCCGTGCCTCGGCCAACTTACGGAGGTTAAATCGCAAGTGGTCAACGAGCTTGGATTTCTGCGGTGGCTGTTCTATCTCCTGCCGAACGTCGGCGGGAGGAAAGGCAACCCTGCCATACATTAAAAAGAACGGGGAAAATCCCTTTGCCGCGTGAGGTGCCATGCGGTATGCGGCGAGGACCCCTGGAACCTGCAAGTCCCAATTGAGGTGGGATTCATCGACCTGATGGCATAACATAGCGGTTAGAGTTCTATCCAAGCACTCCACCATGCCGTCGGTTTGGGGATGGTAGGGTGAAGTGCGCACTTTCTTTGTGCCCAACAGGCGGCACACATCATTCAACAGGACTCCTGAAAAATGTCTTCCCTGATCGGTCAGCAACCGTTCTGGTGCGCCCTTGTCCAAGACGTAGCCCTGAACAAAGGCGTCCACGACGGCCGCTGCTGACTGGTTGGGGAGGGCCCAGGCCATAGGCCACCACGTAAAATACTCTACCCCAACCAGAAGGTACTTATTACCCCGTGGCGTAGTAGGAAAAGGGCCCAAAATATCGAGAGCCACAAACTCGTTTATACGAGACACCGAAATGGGTTGCAGGGGCGGGCATGCCGTTTTAGCCAGCGGTTTACGTTGCGCGCAATGGGTGCACCCCAGTAGAATGTCGGTTACATCGTGCAGCATGCTCGGGCCAGAAAAATTGCAACCGCAACAACCCAATGGTTTTATGAACACCCAGGTGTAACAAGCGCTCGTGCGCTGCCCATACGGCTTTATATCGCAAGGCGGAGGGCACGACGATTTTATGTTGACACGAGTCAGCATCCCAATGCATCAGCAAGCCGTGCTTCATAACAAATGAATCGAATTTCCCTTGACGCGGAGCCGCATTATTTGCGTGACGACGCAACCGCAACAACGACATGTCGTCGCTCTGGTGCCGACCCCATTCGGCCAAAGTCAGCCCCAGCAAGTCGTCACTGGCCGTTGGATCTGCATGATCTGACATCGGTGCTGAGGCGACGGGAAGCGCGGCGGGACACCGTTTCGAGAGGCGCGACCTGCGCAGGCAGTGGCGGCTTACAACGGCTAGAGCCCAAAAAGCATGCACATTTTTTGAGCAGGCGGGAGGCGAGACAATGCATCGGCATTCGTGTGTTGTGCACCCTTACGGTAAGTAACATTGAAATCATAGTCCTGAAGGACTTCGAGCCACCGAGAAAGCTGACCGGACGTTTGGTCAACCCGCAGAGCGTACTGTAATGCCGAATGATCACGGTAAGATGCTGACCATACAGGTACGGCCTGTATTGCTGAATGAAAAAGACAATGGCCAGCAGCTCACGTCGGGTAACACAGTATCTTTGTTCAGTAGGAGACAAAACTCTGCTACCATAGGCAACGACCCTTTCAATGCCATCAACCTTTTGGGACAGAACACCCCCAATCCCCGTATTGCTCGCGTTGGTGTCCCAACACGAATGGAACGGAAAAATCGGGGTATGCAAGGGACGGTGCCGTTACGAGTGCGTTCCGCAAGGAGTCAAATGCGACCTGTTCCGCGTCCCCCCAATGAAACATCACCCCTTTGGACGTAAGGGCATGAAGCGGTTTGGCAATCGTCGCGAAGCCAGCAACAAAACTGAGGTACTATGACGCAAAACCAATTAAAATGCGAACATCGCCCGCAGATGTAGGGGTCGGCCATTGGCGAACGCATTTGGTTTTTTCAGGGTCGGTAGAAATTCCCGAGCGGCTGACTATGTGGCCCAAATAGCGCACAGACTCGCTCAGAAGGTGACACTTCTGCGGCTTGAATTTTAACTTAGCATCCCGCATTTTCAAGAAGACGGCACGCAATCGCTCAATGTGTTCGCCGAACGTGCGGCTAAAGACGATGACGTCGTCAAGATAAATGAGACATGAGTCCCATTGGAGCCCAGCGAGGACCAGCTCCATGAGCCTCTGGAACGTCGCTGGGGCCGAGTGAAGACCCATGGGCAATCTATTAAACTCAAAGGCCCTGTGGTGTCCGAAAAATAGTCTTAGGTTTTGACGCTTCTTCGAGGGAGTTGCCAAAACCCCGACAGAAGGTCCAAAGTGGAGAAATAGTGCGCCCCTGCCAGGGCATCCAATGACTTGTCCATACGAGGGAGAGGGTAGGCGTCAGCTACCGAGATTTTATTTGGGCGCCGAAAATCAATGCAAAACGAAGACTGCCATTGTGCTTTTTGACCAGTACTATTGGAGCACCCTAGGGACTAGTGGAAGGAGAAATGATATCGGCCTCCAGTATGTCATCCACAGCCGATTTAACATGCTGCTTCTCCGCCGGGCTAAGCCGAAATGGGTTTTGTCGAATAGGGGCAGCGTCACCAGTATCAATGTGGTGACGCAGCAGCTTGGTGCAGCCAATATCAAATTTAGATTTACTGAATATATCAGAAAATTATCGCAGAAGAGCGCGCAATTTAATTCGCTGCGAACCAGACAGAACACCTGTGTCTGCGCAGAGCGCGTCCAACCATTCCTCATCTGATTCGGAAGGAGGTGGAACCTGTGGCCTCTCAAGCACGTGTCGCACGACTCAGGTCCCCAGGGGCGCCGGGGTCGCGTGAGCGAGCACAGTTCTTTGCGGAATGATGGTTGTGGACAATCCGACATTCAAAACCTGCAAGAACGGCTCCCTGTCAGCTGCTACGAGTGTCTGTGCAGCCATTAAATCCAACCCTTTAACAGCTGTGTTCGAAGGTCCCAGCAAAACGCCATGTGCCGAGGCGTCCGGGGCTAGCGTTTTTTTTTTAGTCGCAAGGGCACGAGCATTTGTGTCCCTGACGGAATACGGACTGTGCTGGTGACGAACGCCTGCACAGAGGCATTTGCCGTGCGCAGATGTACGGGCGTAGGCAAGAACGTCATCCGTCGACGCGACGGGAGTTCGATGCAGCCTTGATCTACAAGGATCTTAATAGGCATTTTCGCGAGAAAGTCAGTGCCTAACAAACACGGCCAGGCGAGGGAGGAAGAGACCAAAATAGGCCCCGTCAATTTAATGTCACCAATCGAAATTTGCGCACGAATTTGCCCAATAATGCCCAGCGAACTTCCATTAGCGGCGAAACACGGGATAGAAACACGTTCCAAGGGGCGGTATCGTATGGGCAGTTATTATAAATCAAATCCGAAATGATCGTAGCCAACGCACCAGTATCAACCAACATACGGAATTCTACACCTTCGATCGATCCGACAACCACGGAGGAACCCGCCGTCGCCGCGACCACCCTATGGGCTAACTCAGACCAGGTCCGAGTGGCCGCGAAAAATCGCCGGAACACCCCGCATGACACGCCGATTCGCGAGCATTTCTTATGGTGCGTTGCGGTGTGTATGGTGTGAATGAGGGCCGAGCGTGAGAGGGGTCGCGACTTGCCTGATTGTGCCGCGATACCATGGGCGTCCTGTAGTCCTGGCCTCGGTATCCGGAGGAGCGTCGTCGAGGCGCACGGCACTCGGAGATGTGGCCTCGTCGGCCACAGTTGAAGCACGATACGTCGCTGCGTGGAGGAGGCCGTCCCCGCTGCTGGTCGTCGCGGCGACCCACGTGGTCGGACGGTCGCCGGCCCGTTGACCTGGTCGCCATGAAGGCCCGGTCGGGGGAGAATCCGTCGTCCCTGCTGGCAGGCTCCGATGTCGAAGCCGAGGCGGCGATGGTCGAATCTGTGTGGAGCAATAGATGCTGCGTGGATGCTCCGAGCGGCTCGTAGTGAGCACACACTTTCCTCGTACACCGCTTGAATGACGATGCGCAGCTCGCGCGCCAGTTCCAGCATCTTCTGGAGGACGATAGCATTTATGGCTTCATCGTCCATGCGGGGGTAACTCACTCTTGCCATCGCGAGTAGAGTGGTCCGGAACACTAGTGGAGACTCTTTAGGGTGGCGTCGCCTATCATAAAACCGGCTGCGGACGTCGGACGGAGGCCCGTAGACGTCGGACATCCATCAGAGGGCCGATTGTAGAGTCGCCCTTTGTTGCCTGGGGATGGTGAGGAGCGAGGCGAGAGCGTCGTCATCCAGGGTGGCCGGTAGCGCTCGAAGCGCCTGTGCGTCCGAACAGGCCACCATTTCTTGGTGGCTCAGGAAGCGACGCTGGAACGCCGCCCAGTCGCCCCCTGTAGAGGCGAATTCACGAAAGATGGGCAGGCGCTGTTGGAGGGCGGACGTCGTTTCATCCTCAGCCTGCACACTCTCGAGCCGGAAATCGGTGATCGCCTGGCCGATAGCGTCTACTGTATTCTGTTGGTACTGTGATGATGCGGCGTCGGCTGAGTAGCGTGAGTTAACAGCGTCGCGCGCTGATGACGCTGCGGGGTGTGATTGGCCCCCAGCATTCCCAGAATGCCCTTGGCTTCCGCTTCCGGCCACGTGGTTCCTCGGCGGGAAAGTCAAAATGTCCGTCTTGGCCGGTGGCGGGAACATCCGCCGTCGACTGATCCGATCCGCCCGCGACCTCCGAGTTGATCTCGTCAAGAATGGAGGCCGCAGCATGTAGAAGTTGGGCGAGACGGCTGTGTGCTGCCCGGAGTCCGTCCCCCATGGCAGGAGGAGCAACCGGCTGCTGAGCCGGTGGTTGGGCGGCTGGCAATGCGCCGGCATTTTCAGCGGAGTTGGCGGTTCCTGCAGGCGAGTCAGGGTTTTCTCCATTCTGACTTCGCACGTGGCCTGAACTTCTCGTTTCCATTTTTCAACCACTTCTGACTCCAGTTGTAGTGTTTATAATGATGAATAAACTTCTTATGAGGCACACTGTTTATTGTAATACTTCTCTTTACACAGTCCTTAACACACAGAAGGGTATACGGTCCCCTCACCCGATACCCTAAGAAGGTACAGCCTCCAGACTTAGCGTGACCACACACAGGTCTCTTCCTAACCTAAGGAGGTATAGCCTCCTATCTTGGCGGGACTTACTCACACGTCTACCGCTATCCTAGAGTCCTCCGGCTGGGACCTACGGGAGGCTATCTGACCCACCGCTGGCCCGGTGGGTCTTGACCACTGGATACGCCGAGCCTTAGCCCTCAGAAGGGCTGGAAGGCCGGGTCCAGGGTCCTGGCTATCTTCAGCCCGGGCTTCGGTCTTCGTGTAGGGAGAGAACTCCCCGCGCTCTGCGCGGTCACCCTTCTTATACCCGTTTGTGGCCAGGTGCAACCAATCCCACATTCCCACGTGGAACTGTCTGATTGGTTCTTACCAAACTGTGGCTACGATCCACTTCACCTCGTCTGACCCAAACCGTTATGTACACAGAGGTAACGCTGCACTGCCCCTTTGATACCTAGTGGCAATGCAGGTTACCGAACAGTGAGTAGTTAACACCTCTACACTTATTATTGACTCAAGAGAAGTGATGGATGGAGTTGACCTCTGACCAGATTTGAACTTGCAACATTTGGATTGCAATTCAATTGTTCCAACCACAACTTCATTTGGTCATAGGTATACATTGTCGCACCTCCTATTAGCACAGTTGCCTATGTAGGGTTAAAAATAAGTTTGACATACAGTACATGCATGTGGATGCTGTTTTACTCGCCGTGCAGGAGATGACACATTCTGTATAACTGTGTTGCTTTCTTTTTCACTTTCGCTTGCTATTCATGGATGACTGTCCAGAGCATTTGCCGAAGAGCTTCGCTGCCAAGCAAATGCTTGCCTGGAATGCGGTGTTATGCTCTTGAACCACTATTCAGTGTTTCTAAACACTGAGAGCAGCTCTCTTGAATGCATATGCTGCTTCACAAGGTTTAATACAATGCAGTTCGTGTTACGTGCTTCAACATAGGAAGTGTTAGGAGTGTCAAATAAAAAAACAAAGGTTCCACATTTGCAATTGAACGAAGACAGATGAAAACTGCTCAACATCCTCATCATTAACACCGCCTTAGAACCGAGTCAGGTGACGCAGTGCTGTGTGTGCTGTGCTCCCAGTGACCCGAGTTAGATACCCAGCCATGGAAAACATGAATAGTGACTTATGTGATTTGGTTTTGGACACCTCCCATCACCAACCCGCACCAATGGTAAAATCTGGTCAAGTATCCCCTATGACACACACAACGTGGAAAGGCCCTCCTCTAGCATTATATTAACAAAGGGCTGTACGAGTACACAATCGATGAACGATGTACTAACAAGCAGATTGAGTACAGTATTGAGTGAGTGATGCATTAGCTGGCCGATTGAGTCCTGTTTTAAGTTAATGATGCATCAGCTGCCTAGCAGTGTATTGTGAGTATTGAGTGAGTGGCGCATGCGGGAGTGATGCATGGGTAGGCCAGGCTGACTGCAGCTGCTGTGCGTTGTGCGTGCGTGCTGCTCTTCTCAGGCAGCCGCCAACTCGGCGAACAGGGAGACGTCGTTCCTGCAGTGCCATGGCGAGCAGGACCCTCTCGTTCCCGCAGCCTTCGGCAGCCTCACGTCGCAGCAGCTGCGCGGCATGATGGGCTCCTCCAACGTCGACTTCAAGACCTACCCGGGCGTGCCCCACAGCTCCTGCCCAGAGGTGAAACAACAACAGCAACAGCCGCCTCCTCCTCAATCCTTTCATGGATGGACGGATAGAGCTAATGCATGAACACTTTCAACCTTTGTTTAACACATATGCTTTTGCGACCAATATTATCCATAATAGAGTTTTGTTGGGTTAGAATTGGAAATGTTGTGGGTTTACTTTCCAACACACCTGTGTGCTGAACTTGTAACGAATTGGCATGTTTTGTTTACGTGACAAACCTTACTCATTGGCGGTGTCGGGTGGTGCTGAGTTTAACGACACATTTATGTTTACAAGCCTTGTTGATGCATAGGCTGTGTGTCGTGGACTGTCTGATTGTCCAATAATATAAGGAGGGATAGTTTTTTGGCGGGAGTGGGTGCTGGGAAGAAAAATTACCCCTCCCTGCACATCCCATTGCCCTTCTTAGCATCGGTCAACCGTGTATGAACCACGCCCGTTTAGTCCTCTCTGTTATTCCCCACAGCCCTTCTGCAAGGCTGTGTTTACACAGGCAGCCTTCTATGCACCCATTATCCCTCTTTGAATTCCCTAAACACTCGATTCACTCCCCCCGAACTGTTGTGTTTGCTGAATGCTGTTTTAATGTAGATCACTGTAAGTAGGTGTAAGAGTGAGTGTGTGTGGAGGTGTTTTAGAGTCTTGGTCTTCATAATTTATGAATGTTTCCTTGTGAATATGTATGTGGTTGTTTATGTGTGTGTTTTTCTGTTATAGTGAGTGATCACACAGTTGGTGTGCCCACTGCACTATAAATCTAGCGACCTAAGTCTGATATCTGGTCACAGCCACGATTTCTAGTCGCCTCAGCCTTAATAAGTAATATTTAAAAAAACTTTTTTTCAAACACGCTTTAATGAAATGTACCGTATTAGTAATGGAAGAACTCCACGACTCCAGGAAGTGGCCCCGAAGCTTGCCATAACGTTAGGGACCGAGGCCAGTTACAGCCAACGTCAGTTGACCATGGACAATTAGACCCAAGCCGAAACATAACATTAAAAAATAATGTTTCAAAATATATATTTTTTATGATAGAATATAGTATTGTCATCAGTATGACATAAGTATACCAAGTTCTACAGTCGATACCACATTGGGAAGTGGGTTAAAATTGAGTTCCAAGATTTGAGGATACAACGAAAACAACAACGACAACAACAGACAGAGTGTGTTAAATAAAAGCGTGTAATAGAAAGTGGTTGATGCGGTGTGTAAATATCAGCACTGGTATAGACATACGTGACCAAGCTCGGTGCCAGTCACACCCACACCTTGTCTGTGCTGGTTTTAATAGGTTCTCACTAACGGTACTTGCCCCCAACACTTTGAGTCACATGGGGTGTTTTTTGTCTTAGTATCCGTAGGTGTTAATGCATGTGTTTAGATATTTAATTATATGTGCATGGTATCAGAAAGCAGTAGTAATGGAAAACCAGTTCCTACGATGTGACCTTCATATGTGGAGATTAAAGGCTTATCTGCCATGTGCTCACTACTCATGCTGTGTGTGTGCACGTGCTGAATTTGACTGCGTTTTCTAAAAAGACTACCGTGTTAAGCTCCCAGGAATATATCTCGGCGAGAATGCAATTCGCAACATTTGCCAAAATGTTCATATGTTTCTGCTCATGTACCAGTCGTATGTTCAAATGGTACATTTGGAAATGCAAATGAACAATATTTACTTACCATTTTGTTCATTTGCATCTAATTGATATAACCTATTACTATATTGTTCATATATAAAGCAACACTGTGTGGCCTGATGGGTGCAGTAAGTTAACTCCATTCAATGCATGTTTATGAGGATTTGACAGTGGTTGTCCAAACCAGAGACTGTTCCTTCTATAGAAATGTAGACATTCCAGCACTGTCTTATAGCATCAATAGAGGTGAGTGCCATCCCATTGCTCATCGCAGCAGGGAGACACTTGGAATTTTTGACTTGGCTGTAACATTGTTCCTCAGCTCGTATAGACCAACATACAATTTAGCAGTAGCAGCGATTGCATGCGATTTGAGCCACAGGCATTTTGAAATTGAGCAGTGAAATTCAGCAAGTGTTCTAGCTCCACTGCGTGCTTAGATTCTATCTGTGTGCATTGCCACATCTCTCTTGTCCCAAACATTTTTTACATTCTTGTATGTCTGAGTTGCAGTAATCGTAACCAGGCTGAAACTCATGTCAAATCGATAAACTTGTGAACCTAGCCGCGGGTGGGGCATGCCTGTGATGGCCATTGAGAGAGGCGCACTTGGGTATGACTGCGTGAGAAGGGGGGTGACGAGTAAGGGGGCGACGGTCGGGATAAGTGGGCGAGGTAGGGGAGGTGGCCCTGGGGACGTTGGGGGTGCTGGATGACCTTCGTTCAATTAGCACAGTTGGCTACGTACGGTGTGAAAGAAGTCCAACTATATTTTTACAAAGTTCAGCTGGCTGGCTAGAGGGAAGAATAGACAGTCACATCCTAAGGACGTGTGAGCTGCTCGTTATGAAATTACTGCCTGTGAAATTATCTCACTGCTCAAATGAGCATCCAGAAGTGCTCCTCTCCTTTGGCTGCCCTGAGCCAGTGGTGTTTTTATCGATGTTGTCGTTTGTACCTGCCACCCACTACCCCCTTTACAGGAAATGAAAGACATCAAGCAGTTCATTGACAAGCATCTGCCACCCATCGACTGATGCCTTTTGCCCGATCACCCCTGCAGCCAGCCCTGCACCCTCCACCCATGGTGTCCGAACGAACTGAGCTGAGCGCTCCCCGTGCTCTCACCCACTCGCTCGCTCCAGCCTTCCTGTCTCGCCCTGGCCCTGCTGTCTGAGAAGTGCCCTAGCACAGGAGAGGGTTTATTCTTTGGTGCATCAAGTGCTGGAGTAGAGAGTGTGTGTTGGGGGAGAGTAACAAAGGGCGCTGCACACTGAAGGTGAAATGTACTTGAGCCACACGGCATCATGAGAAATATACCCACAGTGCCTTGCAGGTCCCCCAGAGTAGTTACATATGCACAGCAGTCTGATGTAGGTTTGAGTATTAGTACAATGAACGTTTGATCGTGTTAAACTTCACAGCAGCAAAGTGGCCACATTATGCTTCTGTATGAATATGTTTAATATCTCATCTCTAATTTTAAATTGCAACATGTCTGCCTGCTTAAATGGGCGTGGAATAGTGCTCATTATTTTTGGTGGCACTGAGCCTGTGATAAAAATTGCATGTTCCCAACAACCAATGTTGATTTACACAATATAGTGAACCTATTTTATCTGCCCTATAGGCATGAAGGGCTGAGTCGACCAACGACTGGGATATGAATTCGCAACCTTTGGACTGAGTGAAGATCTTGTGCAGATATTTAGTATTCCTCCGGAATGGACAACATGGAATTAATTTCATGTTATTGTAAAGACCTTAACTTCTTGTCATTACTCTTAATAAAAATGAGCTATGTAGAAAACACTAATGCATAAGACATGCACTACGTATGCACTTAATTGGCACTCACGAATCATCTGCACTATGTGTAAACAATTCAACAGTGTCCATGTCTCAAATGAATGTTCTTTAAACAAATGGCTTTACTGAGTCTCACTGAGCTCTTTGAGTTGAATCCAAATTGAGGTTAAACAAAGTATTTGCTGTGCACTCTGATGGATGTGCAGGGTGTGGGGCTCTTATATAGTTCTGTGTATCCAGAGTATCGTTCACCTTCACATGCATTGTGGACAGAACAGAGCATCGTTTGTGTGTTGGCAGAAAGGTAATGTCAGTAAATTTTTTTGTTGGTGAAAAAGTAACCAAATCGCTATTTCGTACAGGTTTGGCAATTTGGGCTCTGAAAATTTGTTGTGAAAATATACTTCTCCCGACACACGAATGAGGCACATGCGTGTTTTCCATCTGATGGGGATTTTCCATGGCTGGATAAATTGTGAGCTTTGCGTTGGTAAAAGGGCTGCTTGAAAGGGGTCATTGGCAAACGAAACCTCCCTTAATAAAATAACGGCAACATAAAGGTGCATTCTACGCTTCATGGCATTGGAACAAACGATGTTGAGATGTTTTGTGCAGGCCTTTCCCTATTTTAATGAAAGAATGAATGAATGAATTTGTTTACTTAGAAACAAGGTGACAGTCCGTTGATAGTAAATGCCTTTTGCAATGAATTCTGGACAGTGATCATTCAAACAATAAAAACAATGTTTCGAACCAGATGACAGCTCATCAGGGTGTAATGTCTCTTTATAAGAGGGCTGGCGGAATAAATAACCCGCTTGCAAACAGACCTGGGTCAAAGATAACGCGTCGCTCGGTTTATCACTCTTAAAATAAGTTGCAACTCAAAAACTCAAGTGTGATTTTTGAATCATAAAAACCGATGTCAAGATATGGCATTGTGACATCTTTATATAGAGAAAACTGCCGTTTGAATCACAGCTCGTCGCTTGAGAGGAGTGTGGTGCCACTACATTTATCCAATTCATCTTGATCTCAGCTCCTGAGACTGCAGTGGATCCCCTTCGATGTCATGGAACTCTCACCTTGTGGAGGTGAAAGAACTTTCAAAGTCCATGAAAATTCTCACTGTGCCTGTGGGCTCGTCGTTGAGACGGGAGGTTCGTGTCGGCGTTGTTGGTTAGTATTGAGGCTGTTACGGATGACTCCATGTTCACACGATAATGATGTAATTAATTCCCACTTTAAAAAAATTGTAACCAATTGATGGCACGGGTGGGTGCAGTGTGCTCATCACAATGTCACATGGGGAGTTCACTTTTCCCATTAATAATTTAAAGACTTGCGGCACAAGCCAGTATATAGACATCCTAGCTTTGCATTTACAAAATAACACCTTGATTATGGGCTCCATCTTTATGTGTGAAGTCCATGCTCGCACACATTGCCCTTAAAACATTACCCCTGGGCTTCTGTGTTTGGTGTGGATGTACTTATTTAAGCTTATCCTTGGCTTAGTGCTAAGTTCTCAGCCTGACAACTGCTGTCGTTCTCAAGGACCCCGATTACACAAAGCTGATGGCTGTTCCAATTTGAGAGGGCAAAGCATTGTCATCAATTGTATATGGAGTCAATTTTAAGAAAATTATGCTAAATGTGGCTGTCATATCGAGAGACTGGCTGCTGCTCTAGGAATGTGGAATTGTGACTACTCCCTCACGGCCACGAACAAATGAACATCACCCCACACTTGTTAGAGCAGGGCTACAATGGCTATCCTTGCTGATACCTGCTGGGCTAATGTACGAATTCCAGATCAGTAATACTTTGTGGTATATAAAATCGTCTTATGCATAGACTGACCTCTGCCACAGGAATGTGGAATCATCAGCCTTGGGCCACATCGAAACGAGGCCGCACCCAGCGCTTAATTGTATCACGTACACTTTTGATCACGTAAACACTTCATGACTGGCTTGGCAGGCATCTCATGTTAACGCGACTTCACTTGCAAGAGGACAAATGCCTTCGGACATACAGTACACTGTGCAAACCCCAGTGAACCTCCTATAAGCCTCCCGTATTGCCCACCACTCAGTTTGAACTTGCCGATCGTGAGGCCGGATGGGTTGGTTTAAGCACACAGTCATGAATCGGTGTGCGTTCACAGAAACTTTCCATGGTTGGACCGGCGTTTGTTATGAATTGGTGCACTCAAGGCAACGGCATCACGTCCTTGAAAGCATTTATCCTTGAACAAAAGCGGGTGTGAAGGCAAAGAATTCTTTGCAGTGATTTGCAGTTTGTAAACTGCCTGATCATTCACGAGAAATGCAAGTCACCCAAATTTAACTAACAAAAGTCAATGTCTCCGTGTGCCAATGAGCATTGGGCTGTGCTCATCTCTGGGGCAGTCGTGGAAATTCTACATTAAAGGCAGGGGCCAGTGTCTGCATAGGATATCCACTGTTGAATTATCACAAATGGGTAATCAGTTTGACATTTGTGATGGGCTGCATGAACTCCAAATGAAGTCCTCGCGATCTTTATTTTAAGTCGACCACAATCCACAGCACTACTAAGCTGGTTTTCCATCAAAATGCGTATGATAAGCTATATATTGTCATTTATCCTTTAATCTCAGGATTTGTGAGAGATGGCATAAGCTTGGGAGGCCTTCATCTCGTAGTTTTTTTTACCATGGCTGATGATGATTTTGACATTGTGAGACACATTCTTGGTTCTTTCGGTAAAGTCACGTAGAAGGGAAACAATAAAATAATAAAAATATAAAACAAAATTATCACGACGTTTCGACTGCAACACAAGCAATCATCATCAGGTGTGAAAACCACAGCAAGAACATTTGAAAAAAGTGGCGGGTTTTTTTTAACGTTAGCACCACGGAGAGCGATTTGGCAGTTATTCAAATGAGCGAGTCCATATATGTTCGGAAAAGAGGAGGGTGGAGACGAAAAATAATGGATGCGGTCTGAAAGCCAACGTAAGCGTGAACAATCAATTAAGAGCCGAATGGTTTATCAAATCCTTCCAATGATTGCTAATCCAGAATCCATCTTCTCGGTTGAAATTGTCTCTGTGTTTGTATATGTGGATAGCCTCATGAACGAATCTCTCATGATAGCCAGATGGCTTGCAGAGAACCTCTGTCTTGGAGAGGTTATTTTATTGTTTCCCTTCTACGTGGTGACTTTACCGAAAGAACCAAGAATATGAATCCCTGCAGTCACGAAAGCTTTAAATCCAAATTGTGTGAGACGTCAACAGTAGCCGCCCTTGATAGAACCACGCAGACCCTGGGAAAGGTAAATATCCAGCGTGTGGTCGTGCCTCTTTCCACACTCCTTGCAACAGAAAGACACTTTTGTGGACAATTGCATTATACGGTCGCACCCCGTGACTCATTTTAATTGCAAATGTGTATTGCTATCTGGCTGAGTGGTTTTAGTGGTGTGGCATTGCCTCTGCGGAGGAGCCTTTCCCTCTATGCATTTATCTTGCCTTTGCACTCACGCATGGCGATGCACTTTCACTCTTGGTAGTTTGTGTGTGTGTTCATTGTGCACGCATCCATGGGTTTTATACAATTAAAAGTAAGTCCTTTTCATGGCAAGAATTCCCAGAGGAAATTTGTTTCACAATTTTCACAATTTAAATCTGGTTAACTTCTAATTACTCTTTGAAACCGTCATATAATTTTAACAGTTGCAATTACAGTAGTTTCCCACTTGTTATTACATGCTCTCGAAGATTGATCAACAGTACCGTATCTTGAAGGATATTCGTAAATAGTTTGCTGACATTTAAAAAAAACCTGTTGTATCCCAATCAAGCTTCTGCCTCAATGTAGGTGGTACTGTGGAGAGAGCGCTTGGCTCGCAAGCAGAAAGCGTGCGAGTTAAATTCCTGGCAAAGGTCTCTACGCACGCCATCATTCTTTCAGGGCTGATGCAGTGAATACCACTTTCGAAAAGTCCAACGTGGCTCCTGCTATGGGAATATGGAATGTACACCTCTTGTTTGGGGCTGCCTATCCTTGTTTTAGGCAGTTAGACGCTTTGACGGATTTTACTGTGAATCTACATTTGGGCCACGGACATCGGAAATTATTGGTAAATAGTAAGCAGTCCAAGAACTGGTTGCACATTCATGCAAGTTGGAATCATTGGACGCATCTCAAAGTAGGCACGTTCATTGTTGCATTAATTTGCTCATGAACGTACCCCTCGAAGCTGTGTCATGACTGCGAGCGGGTCGACAGAAGGTAACCCTCACTATTATACGCTCTTACTCAGCAACGCCGATGCCTCTGCTATTGTAACGTTGTGAGACATGGTTCACGTGTACAGTACATTATATACAGCACTCGGCTGGGCCCAAGAATGATTTCTCTCTGTCCACCCCTCTTGCCTAGATTCCCAAGCACAAACGAAGAAACTCAACACATTTGTCAATAACCCTGCTCTTAAAAACAGAAATAATAATAGGCTACGTTTCAGGCAAATGACCCTTCTCATTGTATAGAGAGGCCAGAGAGGTAGTGGATAAGAGTTGGAGACAGCCCAAGCGGCTTGCTCAGGGAAAGTCGACAAGGAACTCGGGCCTACTTGAGCATATTTGTTCTTAAAATAAATATGCTGCTTTTACATAAATTAAAGCATTTCAATTAATATATACATTTTGTTATGTTGATGAAAATCAAATAGTAATTCCTGACATTTCCCGCATATAATTTCCACTTGAAACAAAATCTATTGTATTTTTTCACATGATGTGCTGTCCATAATACAATCAAACACATGGCACTCATGTCCAATCAGTGATACAGACGTTGCATATTTTAATTGAGGCCATTTATAAAACACCAAGCACGAAAACTTTTTTTCACAAATCGATGGAGGTCTCGTCTATATGAACGTTTTTGCAGACATTGTTTCTTAAAAATGCACATTTTAAAATGTCACCATAACTTGACAACCAACTGCGGCAACACATCGAACCATTTGGGGAAATGCTTGAGCATGTTGCTAATTATATTGTGCTATTATGATGAAGGCAGCAGGCCCAGATATAGGTTACTAAGCCATAAAACCGCCAACCCTCATGGAAGCGAGGCTTGCACAGTTGCACCCACCGCTCATGATTAAACATTGTGCAAGGCCAATTTATTATTTACAGGAAAAAAATCAGGTTGATTTACAGCCTTGAGAGGCGTTAACGTAGGGCGTTTAAGTTCAGATAGATTTTTTTTGCACAAGTATGAACGTGCCAGTTTTGTGGTGTTTTTCTCCCTAATAAAATTAAACCGTTTGCAGACGCGTTAACGTTACAAAACATTTCACATTAATGGGATTCTTTCTATCAGAATGGTCCATCTGCAGCTGTATCCCATTAGCTCCTTCATGATTGCTGCTCTTTGTGACTCAATTTTCTCAAAGCTACAAAAATTGTGGCCATGGATTTTCGTGTTTGCATGTTGGGCTCTGTAACTGGTTCACCCTAATTCACTCCTTGTGGCTGTCGGCAGCACACTTTGTTAATCAAATAAACCTCGAGTGACCAAAAGTCGTATGTCTTTATATTTCACTGTTTCCACTTTGTCTTTTGTATCTCACTCTCTGCTGCCATCGTTGTGCTGCACAAACTCAATAGTCCTTCCACCACGAACCGGACTAACCATCCCTGTTATCAGATAACCAAAGTCGGGTACATGTAATTACATATCCGTTACTTCGTTTGCACAGT